AAAAAAAAAAAAAAAAAAAAAAAAAAAAAAAAAAAAAAAAAAAAAAAAAAAAAGCAGAAAAAGGGCTTTTAATAATAGTGTTGGTGTGCGTAATTACGTTATGTAAGTGCGTGTGCCTGCATATATTTGCAGGTATATTTATATCTAGGGGTGTATTATTCAGGCGTTTTCTTGTTTTGTTCGCCCTGATTTACACTGGTGCCACCAAAAGCCATTTCGGCAGGGTATTTCTGCAATATCTTCTGTCGCAGTGGATTAAGGAAATTCCCTTCTCCACAGCACTTTTAAACAAGTATTTGATTTTAAGATTCTTTTCAATTTTTTCTTGTAAAGTTCCAAGTGATTATGACTCCAACAATGTTGAGAAAATATTTCCTGGAAGCTAGACTGTTACTAAAAAGCCAGAAGTAATGAAGGATATCATTAGGGACATGCAAAGAAATAAGGACATTAAAGGATTTGCAAAATATAATTTCTCACACAGGAGAAATAATGGGACCAACTCTAAATAGTTCTCTACATAAGACATAGCTTCTACCACAAATAGCCTACTCCAGTTAACTAATAACAGCAGGTGCTGTGATGCTTATTAGTGTTGTCTTGTGAAGAAGCAAATGGAAGACGACTGATAAACAATATTTGCATCAATATCTGTTTACAGCTGTGGGTTCAGTTTTGAACAATAAATAAAGTTTATTACAGTTGAAACCTATATGTGTGTGAGATAAATAATGCATGTGTAAATACCTGGGAAAAGGTGGCATCAATAGGAGAGAGAATATAATAGCAGGAATGACATTTACAGAAAAGTGAAAATGGATCTAATTACTCAGTCATTAAAAAGATAGGGAACTTTGGAACGGGTGTCAGCAAGAAAAGGACCTGGCCTGGGTTTATTTGCATACAGTGGAATATTGGAATAAACTCCCATGGTCCTAGTCTTATCTGAAACACTGAAGTTTTGAGTCTGTGAGGTATAAAGTATTATTTTTAATATATATTATTTGAATTTAAAGTCATTATAAATTAAATATAAAATGTAAGCGCCACCTGTTGGTGAAAATATGGGATTTCAAATTATACTTGCTAATAGCCCGCAATTACAACAGGGCTTTACAAGAAATTGATGTAATGCTGATTTTTCTGCTTAAAATATGAAGAAATTGAAGGAATATGGGCTGCATCTCAGGAGAAGCAAGTATGAAAATGGCATGGATCAATCAGATTTATGACCAGCTGAGGCATCCAGGCTGTTTTAGCTCTCAAGCAAAAAAAAAGATGCCAGTTTAAGTTTTTCTGTATGCAAAAAATGTCATATCAGAACATTGTTGTATGTATTTAGATTATTTAGAATGCATTTCATACTTGATTGTCACCAAAGCTGAACTTTTTCATGGCACAGCCTCAAATCTCCTCAGTCTTTGTATACAAGTATTGTTCTGACATAGTTAAAAGTATACACTTTTTCTTAATTAGATGCCCATGCATAAAAGTTTCTAGGTTATTTCATGTGGTCATAACTCTTATTGTAATAGCAAATGATAATAGATGTATAATTGAATAGTTGAGTGAAATAGTTGAGTAATCTTTGCTAATACTTTCACATGTATATACATGCTAATACTTTCTACTTTTTGATAAAAAAATTGCTTGCTAAAATAACAATTTCAGTTTACGGCTGAAATGTTTTCAATCCATGTTGCTGACCATCATAAGATTATTTCAGTCAGACTTCTGCAAGGAATTTTTTGTGTGCAATCATCCTATTTTATACACTGTTGTTATTAGTATTATTGCTGTTATGGTTTATTTTCCATATTTAATTACTCTTTTTCCAGTAAATTATTATCTCAAAACATAATCTCTGGCTTTTGTCCCTTCCTTACTGGAGGACAGTGGGGGCAATGGAAATGGCTGATTGGAACTTAATTTCCAGCTGGTTTTAAACCATAACAACTGGTCATTTCTAGAGGGTGTCTCCAACTAAGTCTTGTATATTCTGCAATTGGAAAAGTGAGCATTCTAAGCTTTCATCTGTTTATTCTGCTTATTCCAGCCCTTTCATGCAAGTTAGGTAAGGCCTGCAGGAAGAGAACTTCCTTCTTACGGTCCTAACAAAGTTTACAGAAGAGATGTGAGAGAAGGGAGGTGGAAGGAATTTTTCCACTCCTGTGAATGCCTGCCATCCACCTGGGGACTTTCAAGTGTCTTTGTCCTTTGATGTGCCGGAGTTGTCCCCAGAAGGTATTTCTGATTACTTACCACAAAGGTACTTGTGTGTAACAACAAGGGATTATGAGCACTATAATGAAGACTGTCCTTAAATATGCAGGAAGAGGATGGAATATGGAAAGCACTGGTATAAATAGCAATAATAAAACTTTAATGACCTCCCAGACTTTGGACAACTCCAGTTTTATACTGGAACATGGCCCAAGAATTTACTAGAGAAGTTCTTAATCTATTTTCTTTCATTTCTCCAGGGTAAGAGCAGTTGGAAAAAAATCATAAACAAAACAATACAGAATTTTGGAGTGCTGGACAAATTTTTATTTTGGGAATGGCAGTAATCCACCATCTGCTTATTTCATCATTCA